GTCTGGATTATGAATGTGGAGAGGGAGGACAGAATTTAAGGTTTTTACATATTTTTTTTATATGTGAACAATTTTTAAGAACATCTTCTTTAAGAATGTGAATCCCTTAAAGCCAATAATAGCAGGACATGGCCATTGACCACCCCACCCTCAGTCACATACAATGAACTTTAAAATATAACACTCATCACTGAGGGGGGGGGGGAAAGTTACAATGCCAGATTATTGAAATGAGTGACTCACAAGAGGGGATATCTTATATTTGACCTTACCACACACCTATTGGGGCAGAAATAGTAGAACAAAGTATGTGGAATCTAAAGACAAGACAAAAGATAAGAACGTTTCGGCTTAGAGCCTTCCTGAGCGGACAGGGCAAATGAAAATACGACAAGAAATTGGGACTAGTTAAAAACTCAAGTGATCGCCATTGTTAGATTTTCCTTGTTTCACTATTTCCTTCACATGGCTTAAACACAGTCCTTCATTTATTGTTGAGAATTTTTACTTTATTTCAAACACCCTGAGTAATTGATACCTACTTTTGTCACAAGTCTACCTCTACAATAAGACTCCTTCTATACTAAAACTCCTTCTACATTAAGACTGCCTCTACACTAAGTCTCCTACTACTTTATGATTAAGTCTGACTCTACACTAAGTGTACTATACATTAAGTCTGCCTCTACACTACGTCTGCCACTACACCAAGTCTACTCTACATTGAGTCTTATTCTACATTAAGTCTGCCTCTACACTAAGTCTGCTTCTACACCAAGTCTACTTCTACACCAAGTCTACCTCTACACTAAGACTCCTTCTACTCTAATACTCCTACATTAAGACTGCCTCTACACTAAGTCTCCTTCTACATTAAGTCTGCCTCTACACTTTGTGCCTATACATTAAGTCTGCCTCTACACTGTCTGCATCTACATTACCTCTGCCTGTTAGCATGGTATTCTCAGATATGCTGACCTGATGCTTTTCTTGACAATGATGACGGCATTCCAATAAGCTACAGGTCAGATGGGGGCAACTAATATTATGAGACTAAAGCCATTAAGAAAGTTAAAGAAACAGTTATTCTAGACCTCTTAGTCACTTTTAACTGCACCCTAAATGTAAGCTTGTAACTAAAAATACAGAAAATAATTGATCACCTGCTAAGGCCTGCGACAACTACGGCCTCACCATCAATATAAAAAAAAAAAGAGATCCTGCACCAGCCAGCTCCTGGAAAAGCTTATAAAGAAACCTAACATATCAGTTGTTGCATTTGGAAGCCTGATAGAGTGCATGGGAGCGAAGTGGTCATTAAGTTGAAAGTATATAGGGCAGTCCTATTAACATCTCTCTTATATTCTAGTGAGATGTGGACAGCAGACATGCTAAGACAGCTAAACAATCTCCACATATGCTGTCTACATAAACTTCTGGCATAAGGTGTCAGGACTAAGTCCCTGATATAGAAGTTCTTAACAGGCTGACTATTTCAGCATCTGTACTTTCCTACGAAAAGGATAAGTCAGATGGGCAGGGCATGCTGTGAGAATGCCAGACAGCAGACTTCCTAAACAACTGATGTTCTGTGAATTCTCGAGAGGGAAACGCTCAGCTGGTGGACAGAAAAAAACACTTTCAGGACTGTCTAAAAGCTTCACTTAAATCTATGGGCATCGACCTCAATTCATGGGAAACACTTGCTATGGATCGTACAAGCAGGCAAGGCAGATCCACTGTCGGAGAACAGTCCTGAGAGACTCAACAAAAATGGCTCTATTGGTTGATGCTTTCATACTGGAGCCTGCAAACGACTGGGCTCGATGAAATTTAATCGAAATACATATTCAATAAAACTTAATGACAGAATGAGCGCCGAAATTTAAATTAATTTGACCTAGTTCTTAAAGGGAAAAATCTTTGGTTCATATCTAAATAAAAATATTATGCATAATTTGAGTGATCTGGTTTATTCTAAGTTATGCTCCCGCACCAGAAAAAAAGTGCAAATAGATTATTTTTCTTTCATTTTCAGCATGGGCCAACGTCAGCTGGTATGCCTTGCTCGCTGCTTGCTGCGCAAATCTAAAATTTTGGTACTGGATGAAGCAACAGCAGCTGTTGACATGGAGACTGATGATTTGATCCAGAAGACAATCCGTACTGAATTTAAACACAGCACAGTCTTGACCATAGCACACAGACTAAACACTATTATGGATTATGACAGGTATACTTGCAATTGCTCCCCCCCCCCCTTTTCCCAAATGTGATTAATTTAAAAACATTCTTTTTTTTTTACAATTATATTTCACAAAATTCTCGAAGCACAAAAATTAAAACATTATTTTTTTTCAGAGTGATTGTGATGGACAGAGGAACTATCAAAGAAATGGATTCCCCTCAAGCTTTGTTGAATACAGTCTTGACCATAGCACACAGACTAAACAATATTATGGATTATGACAGGTATACTTGCAATTGCTCCCCCCCCCCTTTTCCCAAATGTGATTAATTTAAAAACATTCTTTTTTTTTTACAATTATATTTCACAAAATTCTCGAAGCACAAAAATTAAAACATTATTTTTTTTTTCAGAGTGATTGTGATGGACAGAGGAACTATCAAAGAAATGGATTCCCCTCAAGCTTTGTTGAATGATTCCAATTCAATTTTCTATTCCATGGCCAAGGATGCAAATCTTGTTTAATCAACTGGTAACCCAATTCTGTTTAATTAACTGGTATCCCAATTCTGTTTAATTAACTGGTCTCCCCATTAATGCTCTCTGCCATGGCCAAGAATAAAAATCTTGTTCAATGATAATATCATTGATATTCTTGATGCATGCAGGAGTTTCTTTTAACTGTTTTGTAAGATAACATTTAAAGAATTAAGATGTTAAAAGCAATTGTTTTAGACAATAAAGTACATATTAAAATGTATTAGACAGAAATTCATGAACCTCATTGCTGTCCCACATTACTTCTAAATATGCAATAAAATTTATAATAAAGCCATAATGGGTGTTTGTGTAGAATTACATGTATAGAGATGTGATTAAATAAAGAATTGATGTTAAATTGTAATAAGTGTTACATATCCTGGAACAAAAGTATTTACAATGGTGCATTAATAAAAAAAATCTTTAAAAAGGATAATGATTTTAAATGTTCTTTTGTTTTACTGATAAAAAATTCAAAACTTTTGTTTTAACTCTTTGCCTGGCATAATTTGTGTTAACACTTTGTGCCCGAGTTTTTCGTCTACATTTAAACTGAGTGACTGACTTAAATTTCACCATATGAAAAAATTAATACTGCTAAAAAGAAAAAGGATAAATATCTTTAAAAATAATCCATATCAGTTCCCTTGATTTTGATGTGAATTCAAAATGAGATAAAAAAATTTAAGTAAAAGTAATAAAACATATTATATTATGAAGTATAAATTAATTGACAATCTCGTAAAGAGAGTGGTTATCAAAACTCTGATTTCACTATGAATTACTTTTATTTATAAATCCAATTCATTTAAATTATTCTAATAAATGATACAAACGTTTTTGTAGCCGCCAACTTATAATAAAATCAGTTTTCATTTATTGTGCATGGACATTTCTTATTAGATGTTAATAGTGGTGAGTCGACGGTTTTTAGAAATGTATTATTTAAATAACTACTCCTGTAAAATATTTAAGTTTATATTATTAAAAACAAACTAAAAATACCAGTTAGTTTTGTTTTATTATAAATATTATATCACAGGTTCACTTTTTGTTTTGAAAGTGCTTACCAGTACAAAATATTCAGTTTTAAAGAAATGGAATATAACAGTGCAATAAATACTATTCATTATATTTTATTTAAAAGTCACTATAATATGTTACAGAGTTGGTCTTAAAGCTTTTGAATCTTTGGATTTCATTTACTTTATTGTAACCCTAAGAGATGACTAGATGGTCCTTGGCGATCTTGACTATACTGTATAGTAAAATAGTATACCTCATATTATAAGCAGGATTGAGGACTCTTTTTCTTCAAATATTACCAAATCTTATACTTATACCTTAAATCTGCTTAAATTAAAACACAAAAATTGACCTCAACCTGATTCACCAACAGTACATCTTAACTGGACAGAAAAGAATTTAAATAACATTTGTGTATGGAGATGTTAGTTAACATGAGAATTAATTTACATAAAACTATTGTAACAACAACTTTGTTGCGGTGAAGAAACTCTGTATGTTAGGCTGGTCATAAAGTATCTAAATGAAACACAATCAATTTTTTAAGGACATTGCTTATAGGTGGACTCTTACCTGGTGAGGAATATAAATTAAAAAAATTTTTGGTATTTTTTATCAGTCAAACGTGCATCATTTCCAAATGATTTTACTGACCATCGATTGTTCAATAATTAAAACTGCAGTTTTAAACAATCTTGTTTCCTAGAGTCATATTAAAGTCTTTAGAACTTTAGACAACTAGCTAAAGCAGTAAAACTACCGCCAGAAACAGTTTAAATCCCCTTCATTTGTGATAATGTTCTCTATTGTGATTATTCTTTATAATTCATATGCTCTATGGCAGGGGTGGGGAAAAATATGGTTCTCAAGCCAATTGTGGGACATGCCTCCGTTTTGAATGGCATACTGTCCCGTTAAAAAAAGAAAATTAGAATAATCATAAAAATGGAAGAGAAATAGAAAATGTTTATGTAATTTAAATTTCGATTGCAGATGTCTCGACTATTTGGGGTTGTTTTGATTTTCTGGCGAAATCTGAATTTTCTCTGTTTTATTAAGTACATTCTATTTTTTGGACAATCAATTTTACTTTAATTATTACAGAATATAGTTAGTTGTTCTTATTTATTTACGCATAATATGGTTATTATTATCATTAATATACCTTAAGAAAAAATAAAGTGTGATGATAATTTTCACATGATTTGGGTAAAATGACCACCACCCTCCAATTTTACTTTTTTAGTTTTCACCTTTTATGGCTTCCATGCCTCTGTTACCTCTTAAATCTGGCTTGCAGCTACAAAAGTTTGCCCACCCCTGCTCTATGGGGATATAATAACACTTTCTTGTTGCCATGGTTGCATTTTCAATGATAATTTTTAAAAAGTGAAATCAGAAATACAAAAAAATTTAATTGCTAGTTTTTTTTGTTTTTTTAACAAACTTGTTTTATGTCTCAGTCTTTATAATTTTACAAAAGCTAATAAATATAATACTTGTATCCAGAACCGTGTAAGGTATTTTATTGGAATGAAAAATATCTTCCAGTTCCAATGTTTCAGTATTTTAAAATAATAATTTAATGCCCATTGCTGGGGACAGTTCAAGCCCTCACTAGATAAAGTTCCTGAGCCATTGTCACCGGTTGTAGCATTAACAGTGTGAACTCCTCATTAAAAAAAAATGCTTAACATTTTAAGAAAAAAATGAGATTATTTATAAAAAACATAAGACTTCAGAATGAATTTTAGAAAGCTTAGAAATATAATTCTTTAAAGATAATCTCAAAGTAAAGACTGTCACACCTTATTTCAATATAATCATCAATAGGGAATAAAGCTCTATTAAATACATTAAGACACAATCTTATTCTTGACTTAAGTCAGTCTTCATCACCAATCCAGTCCCAAGGGACACAGATCTGCCCATCCTGCATAACCGAGTAATAGTGGGACACCCGTATTCGTGATTTAGCAAGGGAGACCCCAAAACGCCAGTGCTCCTGAGCAAACCTTGTGCAGCAGGAAATCATCTGGGCTGGCGTGACACTCTCATCTTTCTGCAGATCTAATAAGCCCAGTACTTCCATGGCCTTCTCTTTGGTCCGCTCTTCATCTTGTAGGAAACTGACAAATTATACCAAGTCATTGCTCTTTATAACAGTTTTGTAAATAAACTATTTCATGATAACAAATCAGACAATTAATTATTATTTTGCACATTGAAAATTTTTGGCTTGATTTACCTTGGTAGGCTATAAGAAATGTGCCTAACACAAGATTTGAAAATTGAAAGACTGATGTAATAAAAAAAATATTAAATATTCAATATGTGAATTATTTTGCAAAGAAATATTTATAAAAATAACTTCATTTCACAAACTCTAAGTTAAAAAAATGCCCAGACTTTTTTAACCCACATACCCTTGTATATCCTTTAATATGTTAAGAGCCTCATCCGAGTTTTTGTTGATGAAATCCACAACCAAAGTGCCTGGGATGGACGCAGGGACAAGAAACTGACCTAATGATGACAACATTAGGGGACTGGATTCTCTGGAAACAATGAAAATATTTTCTTAACTTGTGCCAACTTTGTCAGCTAAACTGAATTAAGTATGAACATTTTCTGATGTTTGGCTTATTTGTGTAGAGTGTATCTTCTTGGTGACATATAATGACTTATTGTTGTAGACCGATAGTCTTCAAACAGTTTTATTTTTAAATCAATATTTTAAATGATAAAAGATATGCAAATTTTTCATTTTAAAATGAGTGTTAAAAATATAATTAAAATGATGTCAAAGAAAAGAGCAATTTATATTAAGATTGATTAATAAGACACAAACAAATTGTGTCAATATAACAATATAAGTTACGCTTTAATAATAATTATACATTATACAAAAGTAAACATTTCGGCACATGCCTTCATCAGTACAAACAAAAAAACATTTAAGTAAGTATAAATTAAATTTACATAATATAAATATACATATCCTACCTAAAAAAGAAAAAAAATAGGAGAGGGTGCTAAAACCAGACAAAAACAAAGTAAAGAGTGGAAAGGAAGTGATTTGAACATAATTGTAAAAACCAAACAGGAAAAAAGACATTTATAATAACTAATATTTCAAAGTTACTTCTCATATTCAGGCAATATTTTGCATTTTTAAAAATAGTGACTATTTTTTACGGTCCCAAGTTCTATAACAGATGATACAATACCATTTTCATAATTGTTGTGTTGAGGGCTTTCATAAACAAATTTCTATAACAAGGTAATACTCTACACATTTCTTTCTGCTACATCATTACACTGTAAGGGATTTTTCATAATACGCTAAAAATATTTTATGACAATTTTCACTTAATGTATCAACTATTTAATCACACACAGCATAAATATGTATTTGCCGTTTTGCTGGATACTTCACAATTTAATATCACTGTAAATTTCACAACTTCTAGCAAAAACCACATCATTGTCTCTTTGAGATGGATGGATGCCAAAATTTTAAAAAATAAATAAATAAATCATACTTTAAAATAATTTTAGTTAAAAAAAAAAAAATCAGAAACTGGTGCTAAGCCATATGCTTGGCTAAAACCAAGTAGAAACCCAGCATTGCATTGAAAGGTTGGAGGCGGTCGAGGGGAAACACGCTTTGTCCTAAACCGCTACAGGAATACATCTAGTGTTGGCAGCAAGCTGGAAACACTGGGCTGGTCACCATTGGAGGAACGACGACGACTATCTAGGCTCTCCATGATGTATAAGATAAATAATGGGCTGGTCCACTGTTCCAGCATTAAACAGAAACTAGTCCCTCTCCCTCATAGACAGCAACGAGGCCATGACAGGCAGTTCCGGCTCATGCCAGCAAGAAGCAAGTACAGGAACTGCTCATCCCTGCCAAAGACAATCAGGGACTGGAACAAGCTTCCAAAAATGAAGAGTTGAGGTGACCAACACCTGACACATTTGTGACTATTGTCTTAGGCCTTCCAACCCCCAGTGCATGATACCCTCCCTGAGTAGCCCTTGCAACCAGTGAAATATCCTCTTCAACACACAGAAATATTGCAAATCCCCTCCACATGCATAGGAGCCAGAATGATCAATAAATTGATAGTAGGCCTTTAATATATAGAAGACGAAAAAGACCCAACAACTGCTGGATCCTGCAAGTTTGAGGGGAAGCAATCAAAATATGAATTTTTCTGGCTTACCCTTCCACCACGAGATGCAGGTCAGACAGGTTTCTATTTCCAAAACTCGACACAACATGATCCTGGCAGCGTCTCAGCGAGTTCAGAATTTTATTAAGCAGTAACTCGTATTCCTCTGCCATTACTCTGAAGTGCTGTTTCTCTCGTCTGACCACTTGTATGTTGTTTAACAATGAGGACAGCTTTGCCTCCATCATGGGCAAACGAGACAGGACAGTCTCATATGCACCAACTGTCTGGAGGAGCTGTGAGCCAATTGTAGCAATATTATTATTTTTATCTGCAAGTCTCTCTCTCTATAACTCTATCTTTCTATATTGAACTCTTAAATCTCTCCATCGATTTATTTAGGTCGCTATTTATATCAGGACTTCTTAACTTTTTTGCACATCATATCCCCTCTTGATTTTAAACTATTTCTGAAACTCCACCTCCATTTCAAAACATGTTAACGCACCACCCCCCCCCTCCCTCCAATGATAAAACATGCTAATAAAAACTCAAATAAACCTGATTCTCAGGGTCTCCTTGCACCCCTCAACACTGGTGTATCCCACAGGCTGTACAGAAATCCCTGGTTATTAGTTACTGCTTTATATCTATCTCTCTATATCTATTTATAATATCTTTCTATAACTTCCTAATCTCCCTTTATATCTTTAGATAAATATATAATTTCAAGATCTGAACACATTACATCAATTCTATATGTTTTTCCCTTACTATGAGTAAAAATTTTGTAATGCAGGCCACAAATTACCGTAATCCATGTTTGTGGAACATCTTCACTACTTAACACAATCTCTCCATGCCTGCTCACACCTGTGTTGTTACTGAAAATCAAAATGCGACCTGCAATAAAATATCAAATACTTGAATAGTTTTCTGAAGATATTTTTGAAAATTTAGATATACACCATTTCAACATTTCTTTAATTTTTTTCATTTAAAATTTGGTGTTGATTGCAAAGAGAAAAAAAGAGTTTTAAATTATAACACATATATTTATTTAGTAGCGTCTAATGAAGAAATAACGCAAAACATTTTTTTTAAGGAACACAGCAGAGTTAATTTTAAATTGCTAAATTATTTGTTAAGTAACAAGGAGAAGGCAAAAAAACTACACAGAGAACATTGGAAGGGTGAACATGGATAAATAAATAAATTACTTGGAAACGATTACATGAAATTTAATACTTTTATTTTGCAAATTTCAAAATTTTAGAGGGAAAAAAAAACAATCCTTAGAACTTCATTACAGTAAGAAGACGAACCTGCTGCATAAATATGGATGAGAATGTATTATTCAATATTGTTTAAATTATTAATTTTGTTAAATGTCCAGTTAGAAAGCCATTTTCAGTAGTCTAAATAGCTTAAGGCTCCAATTGGGTTCCATCTATATTTTATTTTTTTTAAATCTTGAACAGAGCACAGGTAAAGTGATTAAATAGTTACAGCTGTTAAAAAAACTCACCTTTCAATACATGTTTTAGAAACCCTGGATGTGCAATGTTAAGTCTGTCAAAAGATTTCAGGGATCCCCTGAAGTGATGAAAGCCCCAGACACTGTCAAATCGAATAGTGTGCATTCCAATGTCCTTCTGCAGCTTGTCTAGCAGTCTTTTGATATCATTCTGTATGTATCTGACTGACTCTTCTTGTGCACGAGACTTTCCAATGTTGAGACGTAACCAGCCCCTAGTATCGGGGAAAAAAGAATGATATTGTTGTGGTTAATTCAGTTGTCAACACACAACTAGATTAAACAAGTGACTAAAGATAAATTTCCAAAAATTAAACATTCTAGAAGATATCCGTTAAAAAAACACACACAAAAAGACACGTTAGCCATCTTTTAAACTCTCAAATTTCTTAAAAGACTTAAGCATTAATAAAAAAAATAACAGTTTATTCTTATTTGTGACAAGTTTATGCAGATATGACATTTTAATTTTAGTTGACTTTGTGACATGTTCTTCTTCATTGTAGGTTCCATTTGTGAAACCAACGGCTAGACATAAATCAAATGGATTAAAATATACATTCAAATAATAAATCAGTTAAGTTACCTTAGTGTCAAGGCTGTGGGTCTGTTATCTACTTTTTGGACTTTGGGATTGGGCTTTCCGGTTGCTGCATAGTATGAAGGGTGCCAGTCAATAGGTCGATCAGATCCATAGCTGTGGATGACCAAAAAATAAATTTACAAGCAATTTAATACATTTACCAGATTGTTGATGAAAAGATAGGTATATCAATATAATAATTCACTTTCATATTTTATCAACCTCTACAACACCTGTAAGACGTGAAGCCATATTGCATAAACGTTCACAATTTTTATCAGGGTAGATCTTGCTTAAATGTGATCAGTAGTTCTGTTTCATTACAATTGAGAATTTAATGAGATTTAATACTTAAGATGCCTTTAAAAAAGAACATCAACTAAAGAAACAACTGTATACAAATGATTGACCTTATTTTAGATTGTGGCACATGGCTATCAGACAAGCCACATGCCCCAAGTATCCCCATCACTGTGTCCCGGAGGTTACCTGTCGTCAAGGAAATCCTGACTTGTTTCATTACTGTACAGAAATAAAACTTTAGTAGCCTATAAGCAGTGCCGCTATAAAAAATTGATAACCTAATCCTTGTGTCAAGTACTGTAGTTTGATTTCACCCAAACGTTATATAAAAGAAGAACTAGAAAAACCTAAGGAGAAAATTAATGATTATGTTAATCCATGCAAACATAGTTTATCATATGTTAGGACTGAAATGTTGATAGTGACTAGACAATAGAAATAAGTAGACTTTTGAAAAGTTAACAATTTATACTAACCTTGTCCTGAATCATTTTGAGATCGAACAAAGAAGAGGATATCCTTCTGTTGACTCTTTTCATATTTTGCGTGGCCAGCAAGATATTCATTTAAGAGTTTAAGAGAGTTTTCATTCACAGACTGTTTAAAAAAGAATTTACAAATTACTGTAAAAAATAACAAGAAAACATAAGACATTTTTCAACTGTCATATGTTTGAAATAGAGTAGTTTTAAAGCGAAACTTAATACTTTTTATTTCTCTTGTTTCGTTTTGTTCACCAGTTCAGAGATTTTTCTTGAACTCTCCACAGCAACAGATAAGTTATTTTAGTTCATTTTTATTTAGTTGTTCCCTTATTTTTGTTAGCTGAAGAAGGCTTTTTTGCAGGTATGTCTGACTTTTTTTGTTGTCTTTTTCAGGTTTCTCCTACCTTCAGCTCCATTAATTTCTGTGGTATACTTTTCAGCTCCATGAGGACCAAGTATGATAAAATGAACTATGTCGGATTGCAAAAGTCACAAGATACAAACAAAACAATTTTGATAGAAAATTTAATTTAATCAAATCAATTCAAGTTTTTAAATGCCTATTTGTTGACTTTGACGTCAAGTGGTAAAAGATAATACACTAAACTAATAAATGTTATGTTAAGAAATCAGACTGACCTCTTAACATAAGGGTGGTGGTGGTTGGGGGGGGGGGGGGGGTGACACAAATAAACAGATATAAAAAAAATGTTCTATCAAAATAAGTGTTATTTTATCATTTCTAAAACTAAATTGATTATTATGTTGTTTGGATTTTTTTTATTAGAACAAGAAAAAGAGTGTATTTATTCTAATACCCGTTCAGTGGAGTTAAGAAATCAGACTGACCTCTTAACATAAGGGTGGTGGTGGTTGGGGGGGGGGGTGGTGACACAAATAAACAGATATAAAAAAAATGTTCTATCAAAATAAGTGTTATTTTATCATTTCTAAAACTAAATTGATTATTATGTTGATTGGATTTGTGTTATTAGAACAAGAACAAGAGTTGATTTATTCTAATACCCGTTCAGTGGGATGCTGACCAAATAAGTCAGGGTGTACAATGAAAAAGAATGGTCTCAATGCTGTTGAAGCATCTTGAACAGTAAAGTTTCTCAGTGTCTGAAGGCACTGGGCCTTAGATTTTACCACAGTCAGCAACATTTTCTGACACCCTAGGCATCTGTCAATAAAATTTGAAAAAAAAAAAAAAATTAATTTAAATTAACAAATTTCATGACTGATCCGGGCACTGATCAGGAAAATAAACAAATTTCAATAGGTATTAATGGATAAAAAAGAATTAAAACTACCACCATTTGATTGTGTGATAAAATAAAAATATTCAAAGAAAATATAATGGAAAAAGACTATTCATAGTTAAAATTTAACTTCAATGCTGAGGAATTTAAATTTAATACAAATTTTGCTCCTATAAACTTAGATAACTTTAAAAATGTATAAAATTATAAACAAACTAACTTAGAAAAATTGAGAACTTTAAGCATTTTCTTGTTATCTTCTGAGTAGTAGGTGGAAAATTATGTCCAACTTGAACACTTCAAAAAAGTTGTAATTCATTCTTTTTGTCACAATCCATTCCTAGTTTAGAAAATAGATATTAACATAATTTATCAGCTCGTCTCGATTTTCAATTAATCCTGCATGAAGTATTAATTCATGTAAAGAGTTATAAATTCAATAATTATAAAATTATACCAATAATAATTAAATAAATGGCAAACTTATAAGCCTATGGAGATGGTGGGCTTATTATAGGAGTAGAGCAGGGATATGTAAACTTTGGCCCACCAAAACTATTAATGAACCTCACAAGGTAAGAATTGATTTAAATTATTAAATTCTTTAAAAATCTCTATGTACACCCTAGTATGAATAGTATGAAAATGTATATGGTGTGCCTATAACTTTAAGACGTATCTTCTGAACAAGACAAATGATTTATAAGATTTTTGATATACTAAGTCCACAGCCCAATCCGCCTTACAATAATATGAGGGCAATGTCAGTGTTATTGCTCCACAGTAATTTGCATGTCAGAAAGATGAAATGAAAATTATTTTAATTTATTGATTAATTTAAAAAGCACCAGACATGAAGGAACATGTGCTCCACTTTCTTGTAACAAATGCCTCTCGCCACAAACACTTTTTACTCTAAAATAAGGACATCCAGCTCTGTTGCCCCACTCTTATACAACTATGTTGTCCGACTCTTCTACCAGCCATGTTGCCCCACTCTTCTACCAGTTATGTTGCCCCACTCTTTATGTTGCTGGTACATACATTTCTATTGCCTAGTTGATAAGATGAGTTAAAACTGCCTGCTCCAAATTCCTGATTTAAAGTAAATGAAGTGGTACAGTCTTATAAGTCAATCTTCAAAGCTGTGAGGAGCAGTTTGGAATGCATTCAAATAGGGGTCAAGTTCTTGTCAAGGGTAAGTGTTGGAACACATCCAAGCACCCCTCCCCAAAAACTCCTCGAATTAATTAAATATGTATTTAATTCTAAGCAATAAAAGGTACAGGAACTCTGAGGAATGCCATTTCCCATGCATTCCTGCAGGTCAAGCCTTAATTGTAAAAACTGAAAACCAGTCCAGTATAAAACCAGATTTAGAGAACTGAAAACAGGTTTGTAGAAAAAAAGGTATTTAAAACCCCACTTGAAACTCCAGTTTTACAACAAAAAAAGTTTGTTGACCCCTGGAGTAGACTAAACTCTAAAATTCAATTAAAGGAAAAAAAAAATTGCAGCTTTGTGCGATAGTGACTAAATTAGCCACAGAATCCCTAAGCTTATTACTATGATAATAATTAAATTATTAAGCTTTAGTTTGCCTAAAATTAGTAAACTGACCCAACCTGAGTTCTGCAGATGGTAGTGTATAAGGTATGCCATGCTGAACTTTTACTATTAGACAGAGTAGCACTAGTAGTTTGAGTAGAACTTTTAATATTAAGGCTAAGTGCTAAGTCTAACTCAGTAACTCTAATACTGAGTAAGGGAAAGTGCCTTGTTGAGTGTTGCCTTGTAAATTGTAAATTTGGAAGTTTACTTGATTTCTTTAGAGATCCCCTTTAGCCTTTACTAGTTATGATAATTTTAAAGGTACCTTCATACTGCAGATTTGTTACTTGCATTGTCAATTTTGTGTGACCGTGCGATACTTGCTGCAACAAAAAGTGGGCCATCCTTTGATATTAAATTTTTTAGTGTTTCACTATATTGTCTGCAGGCAATATACAGAAACAATCCCATAATATATATTTCAGGCCTGCACAACATACGACCCACGGGCTGAATGCGGCCTGGAAGCACCCACTTTGCGGCCCGTGAAGTAACGAAATATTGTTTATTTTTATTATTTTCTTAATAGCTTTCCCCTCTGTCCTTATTTCTTTTGGCCCGCACAAGTCCTGTCCTATTTTCTTTTGGCCCGCCCAAGTTTTCATAAATTATTACGACCCGCCTTACACTTTGAGTTGTGCAGGCCTGATATATATATATATATATATATATAAAATCAAAGTGCATGCATTATCATCAGCTGACAGGTTAGTAGCGTAATAACCGATAGAAAATAAAGTAGTCATAAAAACATGGTGAATTTAATAAAATCTGAATTGATTAAAAATGTTGTAACCTTTTTTGTAGTTCGAAGATGAAAATTTGTAAAACGAATTTCAAGTATAAAAAATTATTTTATTGGAGTGAACAAGACAAGAAATTATTTAATGTTTTGTATTGTTAAACATTTAAAAGAAAAAAGTAGAATTTGTTCATTTAAAGAGACACATGCAGTCACAGTTTGCTGACCATGGCCATTGCATTATCTCATAAATTTAAACTTGATAAATATAAAACAAAAGTTCTGCATCAGATGCCATAGTTGTGCCTGCTCAGTATGATATCTGTGTACAGAGTGCTCAGTACAGTGTGTACTGGATTCTCAACATGGATTCCCAAGCCAACTGAGCTTTATGGCTGCAACAAATTATTAATTACAAATCCACAGTGTAACGTAACTAATACTTAACTTAAATTAATGAATGACAACTAAAAAAGTATATTTAATATTAATAAGGAGTAATGAGCAATAATTGACATTGTTACTAATAATTTTCAATTAATTTTCAAAATTACAATCATTGATTGTGGTAAACATGGAATCATGACTATGACATGATGATTGAGTCTGATGAATTGTTACTCATTTGTACCCATCTTATCATTATTCAACTTCAGGACTTGTGACATTAGTGAGTAACAGTGAGTTTGTGACTGACTAGTCAAAATAATTAAGTTGTGTCGTGTACTTCGGAAATGTAATAATTTATTTTTATAATTATAATGATTTTCAAATAAGAAGAAAATAATGAAGATTTTATAATAAATTTCTTCTACTCGTTCAAGTGATTGTGCATCTCGGATTAAATCTTTCATTATTCAAGTGAATCGATGATTGAGTGGCCGACCGATTTGGTAAATATCTGAATTTGAAACTTAAGTGGACCTGGCTCTTCAAAATTTTGAACGTACTTTTTAATTTTAAAGTCATCACATTTAATATTTGTTTAGAATGATTATCTCCCAGATGAACTCTGACCTTTTCTTACACTTTTAGGGCATTATGTTGTAATACTAAATAACACCAAGTTATGCAAAATAAGAAATTACTGTAGTTACAATGCTGTAGACGAAATTATTAATTAAATATCCCATTTTAAAGCTCATAGGAATTAATATTTTAACAAAAAAGAATCTCTAAGTATTTTAACTTGTAAAATCCGTTATTATTAAAAAACAATTTAAATATAAATTTTATTTTGGCATATATGCCTACTTGAAATACTTATTATTATTTAGTTCTAGTTCTTAGTTGTGCTGACATCACTGACAAAAAAAATAAATAAATGCTTTGTGACTTTTTTAACTGTTCAAAGTGAAATTGGTTTGCCAATTGTTTACTTTACATGAACTTATTTTTTAGCTTTGAATTTTAAGAAAATTATTTACTTTTTTGTTATTTTAAAGATTTTTTTGTTTAGGAAATCCTTGACAGTGAAAGGAGAACGATCTGTGCTCTGTATTGCAGACGTAGGCCAAAGTTTTGAGGCCTACGCCTACTAGCAATAACAACTTAAAAGGGATTTTAAGACATACTTATTTACAGTGAGTAAAATGCGCTGCACATCTAATCTGTCAAAATTATAGTTGATGATAAATTGATATTTCGCTGCCTCAACGACTGTTTCAAAATCTTTGAAAATTAGAGTGTAACTTTGTAACAACGTAGAAAATCTGGCACATTGTTTAGAAATGGCGGCCGGTGAACGAGTTGGGAGCCCTAGTGATAGTGCTGCGGTATTCAATTAACTTTAAAAACATTTCTTACCATCCATTCTGTTCTAACGATAGACTCGATATTATGCTTATCTGATTATTAGAACAAAAAGTCTTATATGCATAGAAAACTTTACTCCCAAGCCGTAAATTAGACTTTTCACATCATTAGTCTGAGTCTGAATCATTAGTCATTAGTTAATTTAATTAGTATTAGCCTACTAATAACTAATTACTAAACTAATTAGTCTAATTTAATTATTTTTAAAAAATAGACATTGTCATAAATACCCTAAAGCTAGGTCTAAAGATATATTTTTTTCAGGCTCTTGTGGATGATCTCTACAATTTTCGAGATCACTTTGTGGAATATTTTGGACTGGAAAAAGCTGGTGATAAAGAGGCTGAAGTGCAGAAAAAAATGGAAGAGTGTCTTGAGAAACTTGAGTTGATGCAAGGTATAGGCTTAGTTTTATAATTTATATGTTTACTGATATAGTTAAACGATATATTTTCTGTATTTTCATTTAATTTAGCATTTAAGATTTGCTTAGATCTTTGTTATGCTTAGATATATCCAGCATTACGTCATTACTTAACTTAAGTCTGATTAGCTACCAGCTACCACAATGAAAAATCGCATGTGACTGAATTTATATCACATTTTTCCACATCTAGGTGTATATTTTTTTATAAATATAAAAATAAATTATTTTAATTAAATAAATTTATGTAACTTTTTTTAACGCCATATTTATTTTTGCCTATATTTTTATCTGAGGCGCGGTGAGTCCAGCCCTAGGCTGGTGTACAGCTCTATATAAGACCACTGTAATAATAATAATGTACCAATTCAGTTGCAGTTTTCTTAATTATTAACATTTTTAATAAGAAAAAAACCTTTTCTTTAATATAAATCTATACGCATCTTTGTTAACATTGTTAAATTATTATTTGCAAGAGAAAACCATTAAAAAATTATTAAAATGTTGCTTGCTTCAAGTTTTGAGTTTCCATTATTGAATTATTATTGACACTTCTATTAGTTTATTTTATCACATCTAAAACAAATTAGAAAAAATTCAAAAAATTTAGACAAATCAGCAATTAAATAAACATATATCCCACTTAATAACAGTATGTTTGCTTTTAGTAACCTTATCGCTAGTTGCCATGAAAAATACTTGATGTGGTTTAACTTAAAATAGGTAAATTTAAATCTTGAACCGAAACGAAAGAAAGAATATAGTAAAAACAAACACTGGTGCTTATCATAGTCAATCAGTTAACATTTTAGCAGTTGATTATTTAATTTTAAACTAATTGAATGCAAACACAGAACTGATTTTTTTTCCATTTTCCTTATTTTAATATTGCACAGGAGATATTCGAAATAAGGCTCAGCTTCAGCTTTTGAAGGGGCGAATTTTAAACATTACATCTAAATACAGCCAAGAAGCAGAAGAAGCATTAAGTAAAGCAGTAAAGCTGGATCCAAGACTTGTTGAAGCTTGGAATCATTTAGGGGAGTGCTACTGGAAGAAGGAAGACATTTCAGCTGCAAAAAACTGCTTTACTGGAGCCTTAAATCATGTACGGGAGATATTTGATAATTTTCTCCTTTTTTCTTTTTAGGGTATAGAAATTGCATTTAAATGCGCTATATTTTTAGTTTAGTAATTTTCAATGGATAAACTATTCAATATTCAAAGTTAAAAATTAATATTATTTGAAGATGTTTTAAAGCAAAAAAAAAAATTACATGACATGAAAAATGGGGAAATAATAATAACAAATTTGTGAAATTATATTACAAACGTGCAAGTCTTTTGGTTGTCAATTTAATAGTCATTTTAAAAGGTTAAGAAAATTGTATAACTTCATTAAAATAGTACTTACTAATTTTTAAATCTGTAGTTATTTTTTATTTAAATTTTTTTCCAGTTTCAAAATAATGAATAAAATGTATGGAACGTTTTAATGACCATATTGTGTGGATAGTAATAGGTATGGATAAATTAAAAGGATTTCTTTGTCTGGACTAATGCAATGCATCAGTTATTTCTTTGTGCAAAAGATACATCAGAGTTTCTGTTTTATGTAACCCTCTCAGCCTCGTTAAGCCCTTACGCTTCAGTAACATTACGTACAAATCCCACCATAAGCAACACACCATTTTCAACTATCGTTAGTGAGTTTAACTTCTTAATAAGGATATCCCAAAGAGCCTATTTATAACCAGGAATTGCTAAGCTTTTTTTTTTGTGAAGAACTTGTGGCTGTCCACTTAGATTTTATGCTACTTTTTTTTATAAATAGTGTTTTGTCAACAGTAGATCTTCCAATTACATTGACGTTGAAGACTTTGTTGATGTAACTTAGTCTAGATTATACTTCTGAACAGTATGATTACTCTTGTTCATTCATCCCTGAGACTTATTATGAAGAGTTGGCAATGCAGACTAACAAGTATGCAAGCTCTATCAAGCCACCCAAAACATGGGTTGATACAAAAGCTAATGATATGAAGTAATTTTTTGGCATTATTTGGGATGTTGGGAATTTATCACTTACCGGAATGTAAACATTATTGGTCAAGCAATAAGATGTTAGGTGTTTCTGCATTAACAATGGTTCAAATTGAACAAATAACATGAACATCAACAAAAAACAGATGGCAACTGTATAGTTTTGAATATGAATTATTTTCTTCTACATTAACATTTTGATTTTTAAAAAGCAATTTTATACAATCTAAATAAATGTTTTATTTTAATTACAATTGTATGTTTTATTTTAATTAAAATTGTATCTTTTCTTTACAAATATTAGTCAGTTTTTTTTTATTCCCCAACTGGATGAAAATGAAAGTCTTTTTTTTTTCTTCATTTTAAAGTCATCAACTTGTAAAAGAAATGGATTTAGTTACCTTTGCTTGGTACTGAAGGTCATTTCCTCATGGACATTATGGTACTGAGAGGGTTAATGTCCTGGAAAAATTTGCAGATGTCATACTAAACAATTAAAACTTTTTCTTGACAGTTAAAGAATAAGGTGTCTCTAAGGAACTTGTCAATGGTGTTACGACAGCTAAGTGGACCCCCTGTTGAGAAAGTCAAGTTGATAGAAGAAAGTGTTGAGAGAGCGAAGGAGGCAGTTCAACTTGATATTACAGATGGCACATCATGGTGTAAGTTTAGTCCCTTTTTTTTTCAAAATAAGAATAACTTGCTTTAAACTGGTTGCTTACCCATTCCCTGTATGCTTCTCTATGTGCTTAACAGTGTTATTATTAACTTTGTTCCTGCCAGATGTCTCGCTTATTTTTAAAATCCAAATAACTTAACAAAGGGAAGTAATTCCAATTTCAGAATCAATGAAATAGAATGTTAAATTAAGTTTTTAAATTTCTAAATATAAATCACTTGTAACAGACTAAAGTCACATACATACAGAAATGAAGATTGATTACAAAAAGAATAACTATAATTTTAAAAAAATAAAGAGCCCTGTCTTATAACTTAATCCTTTTAGTTCGTACCAACATTTAATAGGTATAAGTATAAGATGAACTGTACTTAGACCGGCATAGATAAGACATGAAACAAAATAAACGCCTCCAGTTTTTTAAATAAAATGGCACAGAATCTTGCCACTCTGTGGTTAACGCTGAAAGTATTAAGGGGTGCATCTTTGTTGTTAGGGCAAATTAAAAATGAGGAGAGTTTCATAATGCATTTGGTTGTATACAGCATGATCTCAAAACGCTCATTTAGTTGAAACTGGCAGAATGAGTAAAATATTAACTTTTCATTTTCAACACAAATGATACTTTTATTTGTTTATAATAGTGACCATGTTCTTATAAATTCTTTTAGAGCTATGCTCTACAATTTTTATTTTTACCAGTGATTCTTGGTAATGCCTACCTGTGTCAGTTTTTTAGTGCTGGGCAAAATCCTAAAATCTTCAAACAGTGTATGCAAGCTTATAAGCAAGCAGTAAGTTCATGTTGAACAAAATGTTAAAATGTATTTATTGCTTTATAAACTATTACAAGAATTGGATCCTCCAAGAGTTGTAGTTACATAAGAATCAAGGTTTAAGAAAAATAAAGAGGGCTTCATATGAATGAATATTTGTACATCTTTTATTAATTTTGAAAAATGTCTGTATTAATTATATTAATAATTAAAATAAATTCTTTTCATGAATCTTAAAAGACATCAGACATAAAATCATAAAACACGTCTTAGTAATTTTTGTAATC